CCTCAGTTTCCTCCTCTGCCTGTCGTTGTATGTGGGGTTGAAAGCGCTTTGTAAACTATAAGGCGTTGGTATACGTAAAAGATGAATATTGTAATGTTTTTTGAGTTGTAAGAAAACAACAATTACCCATTTGTGGGAGTTTGAACCTGGGAACCTTAGATTGGAGTTGGAGATCCCTAAAACTCCCAGATACTGTATGCAGAAAATTTGTGGGAACATGCATTTGTAAGGAATGATAATCCACAGCTGGCAAGTTTTCAGAGGGTCCTGTGACCCAGAAGAGTTAAGGTCGATTCCTATATGCCACTTCCTTTATGCCACAGGGAGGAAACTGAGGCCTAGATGTCGTTTGGGATCCTTTACTACCAATTTGAAGCCCCCCGTTTGAGTCCCTGGGATATGTGAGCTGTTTCTATGCATAATGGATATTGGGGGTAACAATAAGCCCTGCTGGCTTCTGTTCTGAATCCTTTCTTTTCACCATGGGGTGCCTGAAGGATGGCTGATGTATATGGTACATGGTACAATGGCACCCAATGTAAAGCAGCTACAATTAAGGGTGGATGTGTTCTGTAATATCAAGCATATTTAATCTTTGGCCCAGAAGTTTTGTTTTTTGCTGTTTATACTGGTGTCTGACTACCTTTCTTTCTTTGACCATTTTGCTATGTTTCACTTGCTCCTATTTTGTGTCCCTAGTTTGTGTGTTTGGTAGTGAATAGGCTTATTTTTAAATGGTGCTGCCATGCCCAGCTAATTAATGGTGCACATGGATTTTTAGCAAGCAGGCTCACTGGAACAGGCATGGAATTCCTGAAGATGTTTTGGGTTTTTTCTTTATTTGAAGGCTAACATGCTCTGAAAAGTTCTGTTAAAACTCCTGCTGAACCTCAAAAATCAGATTTGGTAGCGATTTGAAACTTTTCTGGCCTGCCATGTATTCTATTGGTTATAAGTGTGATAACGAGGCAGCCAAAATGCCATTTTTTTGTTTCTTTGTTAATTGTCAGCTGCTTTTATCAAATTCCAGTCTGTTATCCAGCAAACACTAAAAATGTTTGAACAGTTGGATTTCAAACATTTTAACTTTGTGGAGTGGTGCTTACCAAGTGGTACAGCTCTAAGCAAGTGAACATGAACACTTTTAAGTGTAGTTTGTCTGATTAGATGTTAGCCAGTTCTGCTGTTTCATTCAAATGTCTGGAAAAAAAAATCAGTTGACTGTTCCTTTACCTAAAGGGCAGAGACAAATGATTCACTCCCAGAAAAAATGACTTTTTTTGAAGAAAACTGTGTTGGTCTTTAGCTCTTTTGTAATTAAGTCTGGATGTACCTCAAAAGAATCTTTAGACTGTGGTGATAAGAGGCTTTCCTCCAGAGAAAGGAGGAGAAAAACAACTGGAACTCAAAGCTTGAAATTCTGTAACAAAACATGAGATGTCCAGGATTGGAGGTTGAAAAGGTTTTGCTACAGTGTCCTGCAATCATTGAAGCAGATAACTTTTAGTAGCTGCAGCCATGGACTCCAGATTTTCAAGAACTGGACCTGCAACCCAGAAGAGCTTGTCAGGATGTGGCAGGAATTCTGGAGGTAGTTTTTTTTGGTTTGGTTTGTTTTGTTCTGTTTTTAATCTGGGGACTGTTGACCTTGCTGTGAGAAAAGAGGCAACTGAGCAAGCACTGCCACCAGCAATGTTTATGGGAATTAGAAGACCTGAGTTTCTCTTCAGAACTTCTGTGCAAACTGATAACACTCCATCCAAAGTGGATTACGGTACTTGACATTTTCCAAAATGCCCTATTTCACCATCTCTGCACTTTTGTTCATACTCTCTTCTCTACACTGGAAATGCCCTTCTCTTTCTTTACCTGTCAGAATTTTGCTATTTCCTCAGCATCCAGCTCACTCTCCTCCCCATGAATCTCTTAACTTTAACCAGATTGTTAACCTTTAAACATATTATTATATCTTTCATCTGTCTTTGTATGCAAATTCTTGTAGTTATTTGCATGCATTTGTTCTCTTTCTAGATAGCAAATCCTTTGAAAAGGACCTTGTTTTATGCACCTACATACCACTACCTCTGATGAAGCATTTATTACAAAGGAAGACTTTAGAGAACAGGCTGTCTCAGAATCAGTTGAGTGTATGCTTAATCACTGTTTAATAACTAAAATTTTTCTTGATTAGAAGAAAAGTCACTAAATATTCTAGGCCCATTTCTATCTTTATTTCATGTTTTATTTTTTAATTCTAATTTTTTTGACGAGAGTACTGGAGATTGAACCCTGGGGGGGGCGGGGGGGTTACATCCCCAGTCTTTTTATTTTGAGATAGAGTCTCCTTAAGTTTCTGAGGCTGTCCTTAAATTTGTGGTTCTTCTGCCTTAGCCTCTTAAGTTGCTGGGCTTAGCTTATAGACATGCACCACCTTACCAGTTTAATTCTAAATTTTAAAAGACATAGGAAGCCCTCGGGCATAAAAAGCAATTGATATGTTGAAGGGAATTTTTTTATACAGAAGCGGGCAAGAACTGAGGTCTTGCTCTCTCCTACTCAAAATGTTTAAAGTTAGGGCAGCTTTTTAAAGGAGATGATTTAAAAAGGAGGAAGGGAGAAAGGCAATATGGTTTCTTTTTTGTATATAAATTTTAAATTCACTATGTGCCACTTGCATAGCCACTTCCTTCTCTCTAGCAACTGAGCTCAGCAGCTGGAATACAATCAAATTACTGCCCCAAAATATGAGTCTTGGGGCAATTGCTTTTTGTTGCATCTCAGACCATTCGTTCTGAGAAGGCAGGAGGTCTTTGCCAAAGAAGTCTTTCAGTTCTTATTAGTAATTGCTAATCAGACCTTTGTGTTTTCCTTTTGGATTTGCTCTCCTCACTCACACCAGTTTATCATCTGTCAGCCTCTAAGCCAGGCTGGTCAAGAATTAGTATCTATCAGGCAGCTGTACTACTAGCAGACTCTCCCCAGTCTTAGAATTCTGTATTTATAGTCCCATGCATTTGTTATCTTACTTGTTTTATCCCTGCCCCTTCTAGTCCTGTGCCTCCTGATTGCTGAGTGTTCGCCTGGACCTTCTGACCACCTTCCTTCTGCTAGACCATCAGCCTACAGACCTGGTACCTGGATTTTTGCTCATGGTGATTC